TGTGTTGGCGCGTTTGAAAAGCGACTACAGTGGCTGCAGCAGCAGCAGCAAAACAGCGGGGCCGGGGAGGAGCGGGACACTCAGAGCAGCTCCCGGGGCGGCCCCGGCCCTGCCCTGCCCGGGACCCACCGGGAAGCCGAACGTCCATGGCAAGGGGGGCTGGGCCGGGTGCTGGGCCGAGGGTGCTTTGGAGCCAAATCCCACCTCACATTCTGGAATAAGAAAAAGGAAAGTTCATCGACTGAAACGGTTTTGGTTTGTTGTTTTTTTTTAACCAGCATCTTCACCCTGCAAACAGGGAAGGTGGATTTTTCTGCCACAGCCAGAATTTTATGTGGCATTTAAAACCCCTCGATTTTTGCATCTAAAGCAAAACTCTCTCCCTCAGCATCACTCCTGCTGGAGCAGGGCAGGGGCTGGGCCAGGGAGGGGGGACAGTTCATGGATCGACCCAAAAACCAGTGGCTGCCCTGTTGGTGCTCTCAAAAACTGGCACAGTTGGAGAAATCCCTTGTGTCCTTCCACTCTCGTGTTGTCCCAGACCTTGCTGGGAATTGATCTGAGGTTCCAGTCACGGGAACTGCTGGCAGGAGGGGAGGGAGGCCCAGCCCCAGCCCCCCAGCAGCACCTTGCTCACTGGCTGCTGCCAAAGCACCGTTCCCTGCACGCTCAGGGCCTGGTTTCACTTTCGTGTTCAGCTCAGCAGCTGCCGGCGGGGGCTTTGTCTTTGCCAGAAGCAATTTCGGTTGCTCTTCATCAGGTGAGAAGCCCAAATCCCCTCCTCTGAGGCGCTCGGGGTGCTGCTGGTTCAGCACAGCATGAAGAAATGACAGTTCTTACCGTGAGAATCTGTCTCCTTGCGAACTTCAGCGGGACGGGGCCGTCCCCGGGGGGGTGGAGGGTCCCTGAGTCGCGGCCGGAGCGGTTGGTTTTGCTGCGAGGCGAGGAGGCTGCAGCAGCTGCCACAGCCTGCGGGAGGTTTCGTTTCCCGTTTTCAGGCGGAATTTTCCACTTGCACCCTTGTTATCTTGTAGCTGAGTTTAAGTGTTCAGAACTCCCTTCAACACTTGAAGAGCTGGGTCCAGGCTGAGGGGGTGGAGGGTCCCTGAGTCGCGGCCGGAGCGGTTGGTTTTGCTGCGAGGCGAGGAGGCTGCAGCAGCTGCCACAGCCTGCGGGAGGTTTCGTTTCCCGTTTTCAGGCGGAATTTTCCACTTGCACCCTTGTTATCTTGTAGCTGAGTTTAAGTGTTCAGAACTCCCTTCAACACTTGAAGAGCTGGGTCCAGGCTGAAGGTTTGTGGAGCCGCACGAGGGGTAAAACGCCCGTTCTGGGTCGGGCAGGACGGCGGCTGCTGCAGCTGCAGCTCCTCGGGCAGAGGGGCAGGGCCGGGGGGGGGGAGGGTCCCGCCGCCG